TTTTTGCGGGTAAAGAGACCCAGGGGCCATACCGCCGCACAGTGGGACAAAACTGCTTTCGGCGATCAAAATTCTGTAACTTCGGTTCTATTGGAAATATTTGAATGAAATTTTGGGAAGTTTTGCCCACATTATGGTACATAAGTTGTATCAATATGAATCATATTGAACTACAGGGTGTCAAAATATTCACATATAAAGTATAACGCGTTCAATATCCTTCACTTGTTAGACATATTTTATGTCATTTAACAAAAATTTGACTCAAAACTGTTAATAACTATAATAAAAACGGATTTAATAATTAAAAAATGACAAGACATGTGTTATTATAATATATTTATTTATATTTATTATGATCTACAGTAAAAGTTGGATATATGCAACAAAAGTTTGGCTGGATATATGCAACATCGCTATCCCCTCCACTTGGGGGGATCCCCCTCAGCCGAACCGAACCTCTCGGCGAGGAAACCGTGTAATATGATCCGACCGTAATATCGGTGTGACTAATACTAGTTGAACGATAAAACTTTTTTATTTTTAACTTTTTCTTGATGAAACTTTTACTAACGCATTTGTGAGATTTTTCTGATTAAGATGGTACCAAACACGATATGATTTGAATTATATTTATTTATTAAAATAATAATAAAACTGTACATATGTATAAGGCAGGCCGTACACCAAAGATACATCAAACACGCAACATGCAACATGCAACACGTTGCATGTTGTGTACGAACGTAGAATAGGTATCGCGGCACGGTACAAACGATTTGTACGTACGTAGAATAGGTAACGCGGCACGGTACAAACGATTTGTACGGACACAGAATCGGTACCAAGACTGGATATATGCAACGTTTAAATGCCCAGAATCGACATCTCGGCTGGATATATGCAACGTTTAAATGCCCAGAATCGACACCTCGGCTGGATATATGCAACGTTTGAAACCCGAGCTGACACCGCAACCGGTTTTCATTTCCAATCGTCCTTTGCTTTTCGCCACTTTTAACATCAATTTTAGCAAGTAATTATAATTCAAACTATATCGTGTTTGGTACCACTTTAATCACAAAAATTTCACCAATGCGCTAGTACAAGTTTCATTAAAAAAAAGTCAAGAATAAAAAAGTTTTTTGATTCAATTAGTATTAGTCACACCGATACGTTTCGGCTCTTTCCTTTGATCATCGGACCTCTCTCTTTCCGCCACTGTCTGTCCTTTTCTACGTTCACGCTTGGTTGTTCGTCGCGTGTAACCCGAGATTCGACACCTCGACTGGATATATGCAACGTCTGGGTCCCAATGTTTGTTGCATATATCCAGCTTTTACTGTATACCAAATCATTCGTGAATATAGTTTCGACAATTATGAAAATTTATTATGGCATATTGCAAGGCCGAAATAAAGTTTTGGGTAACGAATATACACGTCGAATGCAGTTAACTGGATAATAATCGTATCTGGTACTGCTTTTCCATCATCGTGTGCTGCGGCCAAGATGGGTGTAATTTATTTCAATCGTCATTTTTTTGAGCAGTGGCAGGTTGGGGCAGCCGTTCTTTTCTGATTCTGATAGAGAAAGGTTCACTCTTTACTACAGTAATAATCACACCTTGCACAAGTGTGCACATTTTTTTAAAATCAAACGCAAAGTTGAGATTTTAGTTAAATGTATTTCGTTTCAATCAGATCCTATTATTTAAAAAGTTGTTAACATTTTAACTTATTTTATGCACTGAATAGAATCTATACTAATCTAGTAAACTTTGTAATTCATTTGAATTTTATCTTTCCGAGTAAAATTTATTAGAATCGTACATTGAAGTTATGGGTAATATTATCAGCGTTTCGTCTTGACGAATTTCTACTGACTTTGAGTGCGAACCACGGCAAAACGGAAAGAAATATGAAAAAACGGATTACACTACGTTAAACTACAGTTTATTCTCTATCGATGTATGTAATTAGTTTTTCAATTTTCGAATTCACGAAAATCGACTTTTGATCGCCGAAAGCCGTTTTGTCCCACTGTGCGCCGTGTCAGGTGATTCTTGATCGTGGGACAAACTTTACTATAAACCATTAGCTCAGTTTTTACAGAAACAAGGGGTCGAATTACATTTGATCGCTACAGGTGCTTCCCGGGCTAATGGGCAAGTAGAACGATACGTTTCCACAGTCACAAATCTTTTAACAGCAGAATTAAGTAAAATAGTAGAATGGCCGAACAAATGATCAAAAATCCAACATTCTTTAAACACAACAGTGCAAAAATCAACGGATTTTTCACCGACCCGGTTATTGTTTGGAGTTGAAAGGAGTGCAGGTCATGCAGCTGTTGCCGATGGACAGTTACCGGATTCAAGCGAGAAAATTGACGTAATTTGCGATAGAGAAATTGCGTACGAACGATGAAGAGTAAATGCGGAATTACAAAAAATATCAAATTTAACAAGAAGCGGAAAGATAATATAACGTATAATTTGGGGGACACCGTATTCATACGACCCGGTGATTCGCGCAGAGCAAAATTGGAAAAAAATTTATAGGCCCATACTCTATTACTAAAATTTTGCCAAACGACAGATACGAAATACTTGGTAAGAGTGGGAAACCGCAAGTTGCACCCAAAGATCGTCTGCGACCATGAAAGGGTGAATAGGCGGGAGACGGTGAAGAGGATGCTATTGAAGAGTGTCCTGATGAACCGTGTTAGCGATTGGATGTGATATGTATGCAGGATATGAACCGTTTGACCAAAGACTTCGAACTGTATCTTTACAATTGTTTTGTTGTCCATAATTTTTCAAGAATATATGTCTGTTGTATTTTGAATAGAATTTGAGTTTGACTTATTTCTTTTGCCTATGTTTGATATGGGTGAGATATGGGTGCGAGATATCGTTAGTGTCTTTGCGGACCGTGTTTTGGGTGAATGTAAGACTGACGACAGTAGGTTGTAATTGGTTACATAAAGCTGCAAGTGTCGTGTTTGAAAGACGTACGCTTGTGCTCGTTAAGAATCACGGTGATGCTTTACATCTGTGTCAGAGTTCGGGAATAACGCATGAAAGGCGACAACGTCGGGTACAGAATAGATTAACGTTATGGGTTCGAAGGAAACCTTTATCACGGGTGGCTACGTGGCCACGGACTTGATACAGTATTCTTCGGAGGACGACGTTTAAGAGGTACCTGAGTTGCGTCGAATAAAGGGCGTTATGATCTCGATGAAGTACTGTGATAAGAGTGTTTGACGGTAACGACAGCAGGGCACAGGTAATGTGTGGAGCTGTGGAGGTTACGACGTCAGAAAACACTGGTAATAGTTGCCACCTCACTTTCGTTTCTTATTCTGTATAATGACGTTAGATGTCACACCGTCAAATGACCAATTTCTCAATTATGTGTTTTCACGATTGCCCGATTCTTTCCAATGGCGCTTACATCGATTCGGAGCAGGCCTCAAAGGAGTCTGTGGATAAGCACCCGAAATTCGGAGGACACAAGCCAGGCATTTACGAAGCGGAGGTATAGATTTTTAATGATAGAGATGGCGCCTTTGATAGAGTAGGGCCTTTGAATATTGCCGAATTTAGAAAAAGACAGACAGCGGAAGACAAAGAGGTCCGAGAATCAAAGCAACCGAAAACAGCATATCGGTGAGACAATACTAATTTAACAATAAAACTTTTTTATTTTTTATTTTTGCTAAATCAAACTTTTACCAATGTAATTGTTAGGTTTTATTGATTAAAATAAGACTAAACACGATATAATTTGGACTATATGGACGAAAAAAAATTAACATTGGGGATGTTCCCTTGTACATAAAGTAAATATAGTCCAAATTATGTCGTGTTTGGTCTTGTTTCAATAAGAAAAATTTCACAAATACATTAGTAAAAGGTTCATTTGAAAAAAAAATAATAAATAAAAAAATTTTCTGGTTGCATTAATATTGTCTCACCAATATTGGAGCTTGGATTAGGTTACACTATTTGCTCGTCCAGCTTCGATGTTCCTCAAGGGGGATTCCTCCAAATGGTGGGGATGGTTACCGCAATTATGGGGATGGCAATTATCCAATGGATCTCACCGGGTCCTTATCCAACTTATACTGTACTTCAATGAAAAATGATGAAATGAAATTCGTGGACAAATCGTAATTTTGACATTCCCAACAGAACGTGCAAAGTAAAAAATCGTCACTTTGCAAAAGTTTTTCAGCAATGGAATATGAAATTCTTGGTTTTGATGCCATATTGTTTATTTATGAAATGATTTTATGTCATTTTTCAATGACACCAATCATTTCACTATTACGAAGAGTTTTAAATATAAAACGTTATTAGTTTCCCTAGGATATTATGCAGTTTTATTCGTTCCCATCCTCTGCTATAATTTTTTATTCATCTTAAACAAACTGATATTGTAAATACGCTGCACTTTTACTAAGAATTACACCGTACAATTTTTATTAGTTTACTGTCAAGTTAGAAGATACCTATCGAATATAGAACATCGAAAAATATCTAAGATCTTCGAAGAACATCGAAGAATATTGAAAAACATCAAAGAACATCGAAAATCGGACTATGCACTGTTCTGAAGCTCGTTTTCTCAATTTGCCTCACTGCGTGCCGTGCGAATGTTAACACGAGGTCTTTCGATAACACACAGAGTGGGAGAGAAATAACGCAAGTATTCACCTCCCCTCTTCTTCCCTTGTTCGCGTCACACAGTTGCCTCTTTGGTTTCACGATCACTTATAAGGCTGGCTTTCAACCGATCAAGTAATACAGAGGCCGTGAAACGTTGCGGGGTGCTTCTTTTTTTCAAATTCTTCAAAACTTTCGATTACATTTAATACAATTCCGAAATCTATGACAAATGTGTTTAAAAAAGTCTATAGACTTACTGTGATCATTATAGTGGGTCTAATCGTATCATTGAGCCTAATTCTCATTTGCTATATTTACAAGGATGGAAACGTTCATCAAAGTGTGGATGATTTTTGTACTGATCAAGCTTTCGTATGCCGGAAAATCAGTGGAAATTTTAACATCCGTTGGATTGAGTCCTTTGGAAGATGACGATATTCTTCGTGTTCTGTCGCACAACAAGAGCTCCCCTTCGAATAATTTCACGTTGGTTGAGCTAATTGGACATCTAAGAAACTATTCGATCGAATCACGGAAAGAGATGTGGAGGAGCGAAAGATACAAACACACTAATCCATTTTACGGTGAGTTTTAATGAGTACTACTCACACTACAGTGCAACGAGTAATCCGTAATTATGAGATAAAGCATCGTAAATCGGCATTATCACTTTAAGTTTCAAATTTCAATTGATTATCGTTACTGCGCAAAGCATAATATGTATAGATATCTACATACGTTATCTGAATTTCCGTAATTTTTCCTATTGTTTTAATTTATATAAATAAATAAATATATATATATATATATATACACATTGTTTTAATGTGTATGTTGCTTCAGGCAAAACAGCACATAGTCAAGTATACTTGTAACATTTAACCTGATCATACTGTATTTGTGATGTTTTTTCTGATTGATATACAAAAATTTTTGTTTATTATATATGATCAGGATTCGTCGATGTCTGCATATATAAATGAATACAATTAATGCAATTTTGTATTAAAACATAACAATCAATGTATTTTCAAACATAATTATTTCATTTCAATGATTAATATGATTATCAACAAACGTCTGATAAGAATGAAAAAGAATTAAATTAGAACGTATTCGACCTTTGCTTTATTGCATATATATGTTTTGAAGAGAAAAAGGTGTTTAAACCTTCGCACGCCGAATGCCAAATAATTTTGATTCAGGTTAAATTAAATATCAGTTGCAAAAATTTTTAATTCTTAAATTTTAAAGTTCAAACTTAATAATTGTACTACACAAATTTCAAAATTCAAATGTATACATTTCAAAATTCAATTTACAAGTTTTAAAATTTAAATTTCAAAGTTTTAAATTTCAGAGTTCAAATTTCAATATTTAAAAATTACATAATTCAAATATTAGAACTTCAAAACTTCAAAACCTAAAATGACTCGGCTTTTAGAATGTGAGTTGAAATGATCTGGTATGACCCAGTTAATCGCCCAGTATTCGATAAATGAGAATTCATGAACTTTTACTAACCTAACGTATGATTTAGAGTTTAAATTGAATTTGAACCTTCGCACATGGGCTGCAGAATCATTTTGACTCAATGTAAGTTGTATGTACTCCTTTTGGTGTGTATATGCTTCATTATATTTAGATATATTTTAAACGAGTCATAGTGACCGTGTACTCGATTACCGCATCAGTCATAAAGTATTTCTTAACACACTTTTTTTCTATAGATTACACAGATGCTCTTATTTAAATCTTAAAATTTCTGAAATGTGAATTATATCGTTTTGCACATATATTGTTATATTTAGCATGATGATGCGAAATGTATACGAAACCTTGTACTGTGTCTAAACAAACAAAGAAATATTAACATTTTCAAATAACTAATTAATATTGAAATTGTTATTAGTATTATTCAGTGAAACTAGGAAGGAAAGATCATTTCAGATCTTGTAAATTACCTTTAATGTATTTGTTAATTTATTACATACCTATGTAACTTGTGCAACTTCGTAGCTACTTAGTTATGTCAGTCGCAAAGATTTTTTTACATAAACAAAATGTAGATCTATACAAAAGTAAGAGACAGAAAGAGAAAAATTGTTTGCCTATTTCTTCAATTGAACTGCTGAATCTCCAAAATAAAACAATAATTATGTTTTTCTTTTTTCATCGTAAGTAAAACTGATCTTGAAAAAATAAAACAAAGAAATTACTAGTTTAAACATTATTGTATATTTGTACCTTTCCTGTGTACCTAAATCCGAGAAGTTAATTTTAGAAATACATAATTTTTAAAGTTACGAAAGAAGTACACATAATTTCAGATTAAGAGTAATCAATTGCTTTAAAAGACATTTAAATATTACTAAAATATTAATAGTCTTTTGAATATATACGGTTGTGCTAAGAAGATGATATCCTTTTTTTGCAAATTGCATTTGCAATTCGAATATGATATTATATTTTAATTTTTCTATAAAACAAATTATATAATGTTAAACATTGTCAACATTATATAAAATAATTATAATTCGTAATTATAAATGTTTGAAAAACACAAAAGTTTTGTAATACTATTTTATTTTGCAATTCAATACAACGAAACATTGCAACGGTACATTTACACTCATTAACAAAATGGAGGAAAGAACAACACGTATTCTGTTACTTAAATATTAAATACGTACTTAATCGTATTTTTTATCGTGCTCCAAAACTTTAGTCGGAGAAAACAAATGCATATAGAGCGATCGAATGACGGAAAAAGGCAGAGCTACTTTCGATATTTCGACAGACGTGCTACTGAAGTTTGATTTTCATTCATGCGCAATGTCTGCATATTGCATGTGATTTCGTTACTCATTGTATTGCACGTGCGTTGTGTGAACTAAGTAGGTAGACATGTAACGATAACATGAAACACTTTATAGACTGTTACGTTTGCTAGTTAGAAAGTGTTTGCGGTGTCTCTTTTAATCGAAATTCCGACTATAAAAGAAAATCTGGATTACGAATTCGAACGGCATTACTTTCTTCGCATTTCAACACGCGTAACATTGGTAGGTATCATACTAAATTTTCATGCGCCTTAAGGGGGTAGACACGGCACGTGACCTCTCCGATTTGGGACGTCGGTATTACAGCTGTTTTTTCGTTGGGCCTGGTGGAGCCACTTGCGTGTTCTGTTACGAACTTGAAAGGTTTAATTCTCAGCTGGCGTGCGTGCAACACGATCTAGGAAGGCAACAGTGCCTCAAGTATTTTTACAAACCCATTCAAACGCTCATCTCGCCAGAGGCATCGCCACAATACGCCTGAAGAACGAAAGCGAAACATTGGCGCGTGGTTAGAGTTAGATGTATGGTGATCATGCTATCCTTCTTTGAACCTAAATGATAGAATTGTCCCGCTCCGGTAAATTCCGACTGACTGAACGCGTGGATTTTATATAGCGCATCGTAGCACGCCTTGCTGCTAAAAAATATATGCCTAGTCTGAAGAACCGAAGGAACGTGCAATTTGAGAATTTTTTTAGAAAAAGTTATTAGCTTCTTTAAATAAATGTTTTTTAATTCATAAAAGCATACAGGGTGCGTCACGCAATTGGGACGGATTATGTCTTGAATTTGGTAAGAGATAGGAAAAAGCTGTTCATGTAAAAGTTCAATGGTATGATAATGTTTATTTTTCTATGACTTCATTTTCTTCGTGAATGCAATGATGCACTAAAAAAATACAGATGCACTTTTTGTTTAAATGGAATTGCATTGTTTTTTTACTTGTGTCAACTCTTTGAAACATTCTGCATAAAAAAATAGTATTAGAACTAATAAATGGAGGGACCTCGGCTCCTTCTCTCCTTCTCACTATTACCTATTACCTATATATAACAGTACAATGTTTAAAAAACTAATATTTCGTGAGATATTTCATATTTTTCATAAGTTCAACTTTTACATCAATAGCTTTTTCCTATCTCTTACCAAATTTAAGATATAACTCGTCCCAATTGCGCGACGGTGCAAAATCCTCAAAAAGTGGCAAAAACTCGATGTTCATGGCAACGATATTTAAAAAAATTGATGTAGCAATATTAAAATACATCAATCGTAGATTACAATATAAGTTATAAAAAAAAATGGCATTATAAACAACTGCATTATATGTTATTTTAGAAAAATGTTTCTTTCCGGTATTTGTTGTTTTTGTTTTTAATCCTTCAAGTTTTTAAATATTATCGCATAGATATTATTTAATGCGATAAATGCTTTACTTTAAACGATTAAAATAAAGTTTTTTTGTTTATAATTAAGGTCTTTCAAATCCCACCTAAATTTCATTTTTCAGTTAAAAATAGACATAAATATGAACATTATAATCCAAAAAAAGTTTGCGAATTTTGCAACCTTCGTCACAGTGGTGCAAAATAAATCTCCAAAACGTGGCAAAAATTCCAAATATATTTCTAAATCAGATATTATGACATTTTATGACTTGTTACGTAAAATAAAGTATATACATATGAAAAATTAATTAATGGAGAAGGGATAAACAATTTTTAAAAAATGATTTCTTCTCGTATTTTTTAAAAATAAACTAAATTATTTTATTATGATTTCATTGATCATCAGGTTCTTTGAAAAACTAAAGGACATCATTCGGATATTGTTTTAATTTTTTTGGTTTTAAAAATCGTAAACTGGATAAATATGGATCCGAAGAAATCAAAAGTTCGTGAAACACGTTTTCTAGATTCTGCAAACGAGAAAATTTTCTGGAGTTGAATTCCCTTAATCTCTTCAAGTCCTTATTTCTTGCTTCCTGGGCTTCTTCTCCAAGTTGGCCTATAGGTAGAATTGCTTGGGAAATTACTTGTGGACTATGAATCAATATCTTGTGAACTGTTGTACTCATATTGTACCATTCGTAAAGGTTCACGAATTTTTTGGCTGTATTCAAACAATATTGTTCAAAAGTTGGAACATCTATATGATATTAAAATTATATAGATTTATAAATTTTAAATTACTTTCATGAATTGGTTGAGACAATACTAAATCAATTTTATTAAAATCCTTTGCAGTAAGATTACATATATAACATTTAGTATAGATGAATTCCCTGTCATCGCGTTGCAAACCTTTCCGTCTACCATTGTTAATATTAACTGATGTGTTATATGTATTTTTCTCTCCTGTATAGTAATTTCTGTTGGATGTAATTATTCAATTTGGTTTTGAATGTTTGCAACTACTTCATTTATTAAATCTCTCGTTTCATGTATGAATTCAACATAAATGGGGCGGCAATATCTGGGTGAAGATGTTCGAATATTTTGCCATATAATTTTATCCTCTGTTGTGTTTTCAGAAACAGATGTAAGTTGTATTGGAACGAGAGATGACGCGAATATAGTACTATCAGATTTTGTGGGATTTTCAAATTTTTGTTTGTATTCGCTCATTCCGGATGCTCCATCACATCCCCACTTTGAGACCAATTTAAAATCACATTTTTCCTGATCAACACTTAATATAACTTCTTTTTGTACTAAACATAGACGATTTGCTGTGTGATC